TAACCAAATGTACCCCATTCTGGATTTTCTAATCGTCAATATTTCTTTATTTGGATGTGATACATGTAAGAATTTAATAAAAGGCATATGCCCTCGGTGCTTCTCCCCCTTCAATTCGACACTTATCAGGGGACCGCCATGCGAGGAGGCACAGTTTTGTCCAGGAGGCCCCCTTGAACATCCCCCTCCCCCAACACAAAATATGTGGCGCTGGTCCTGCGTTTAAGTGCAAGTTAGTCAGCCCGCCCACTAAACTGGCAATTTTGACACGGACAATCTGGCATTAACCGTGACGTCATATTACCTTTTAATGACGTAATCAAACTATAACGTATTGAGGAGCGCATTTATTAACTCGTGGAGTTTTGGCCTTTAGAAAATACGAAAAGCCTAGAGCAGTCTCATGCACTCAAAAGAATACCAATGGTTACAAGTGAGCTTTTTCAGTCATAGCTGAGGCTTACCTCAATGCCTTCAAATGTGGAGCATTTCCTGTAATGAGATATATGGTTAGAAACTACGTAGTAGCCCACTGTTAAGCGTTCTGGAATTCACTCAGCTTCCCGGGTGTTGGTATGTTTATCAGCATCTGTTTGGTTCCAAGGTTAAAATTTTCCAATCCGACATCACAGCTTGTCATTGAAGAACGGTTTAAGAGGCGTGAATTCTCGCACATCTGTCTAGTTTTCACGTTCATGCAATCAGAACTCACAAATTAAGATGCGATTTTCTGTAGGCTGGTTATTAACAAAATTGTTGCGCGAAAAATGTCAGCTGACCGAGGTCATCCAACAGAGTCGGTACGTGGACTCGACTTTGCTAGTGTTTGTTCTACCTTGATCTTGCGGCGAAGTTTTTGTGGAACATCAGCCGCACTTTCGTCTTGAAGAGCGAATATGCGCTGTTATGCGTCGCGGCGGCGACGCAGTTTAGATTGAGATGATTTACCCGCCTACCTCGTCATTGGCGAAGCAGGAGATAGGCCTCGTCGAGAAGCACCGATGGGGCACATGACGACGAAAAGTGTACCTTAGCTCTGTGAATGTGCCTGCATTCGCTTCTGAATGGGAGTGTTTTCCCACTTAACAGGTAGGTGGGAGTCACATCCTGGCTCCTAAGAATTGGGCCAAATCGGGGGAGAGACCCTCGTTTTGACAAAATTTGCGACAGGTTTGGTGATTTCTTTTGCCTACCCCTGACCATATTGTGCCAACCTAACTCCTGCCTTTGAAGAAAGGGTCTCGTAAGCTGTCGTTAACGTTTGATAGCTGAATCCAAAGTGGAATCCTGAGTGTGGTTTGGGGTCTTTTGTGTTCAAGTTATCTGCGACCCAACTAACAATGCTTTCGTTATGTGCATAACCAATCAGTCTGGCGTTGCTGCCGGTGCCTCTGTTTTTGTTAATTAATTCTAACTCTAATTTTATTTTTATTATTCCCCTTTCATCAGAAAAGCGTGCCATGAAATTTTCCCCTGCCCGCCCCTGACCAGACATGTCACGTGATCAGTGCGCCACCATGCCGCCCGCAGGCGATGACCTTGAACCAGTAGTCGGGTCGACCAATGGGAGTTCGCTAGTGGCGGCGGGATGGCTACTCCACTGGAGCTGGCTCTGCTGCGCGCACGCGACGCGGGCATTTGTGAATTGTTACCGAGGGCAGTGCGATGCTGAGGCATCATCCGCGCCGTGCGCGCCCGGGCCGGGCCCGCCGCCTCCAGCAGCAGCAGGGCCCGCTGCTGATGGTCTCGCCCTACCAGCTGGTCTCCGCTGCTTACGCCTGTCCGCCGTCAGGTCGGTACGCCGCGGCACCGGACCGCGGTCCGGCCCGCCGTCGCGCCGATCGCCGGCAGGGCCGGTCCAGGTGCTCCGCGTGGGTGGTGCGCCCCGCGTCAGCTGGACTGGGTCCGTGACGTGTGCTGCTCTCCGCGATACGCCGGCCCGGGGCCCGGCTCGTCCGCGGCGCGTGCGGCGCACGGCTCCGGCGCCGGCCGGGTGACGCCCGGTGCGGCGGCGCGGCTTCCGGCGCCGCGGGGCGTGCGTGACCCGCTATCCGGCGGCCCGCGTCCTGACGGCGGCCGGGTTATTGTCCCGCCGCGGCTGTAGCCGTCAACTCACTGCAGCCGTGATAGGACAATAGCGCGGCCGCCGCCGCGGGCCGCTCGCCGGCCGCCCGGCCGGCTACCTGTCTGTCGGTCTGTCGGCAGGGTGCAGCCGACACTGGCCGGGCGGTCCTCGCTCTGGTCCCGGTACCGGACGGCAGAGCCCTTACCGCTGCTCCGTCGTCCCGCAGGGCCTGGCCATATCGCTGCTCTATCCCGCGGGCCCCTCGTACCGTTCAGCCCGTCTTTCACGCCTCATGTGTAGTGTGAGGACTCGAACCATTCGGGCGATCTTTTGTCGCTGACATTTCATAGCTATCTGCAGGGTCCACCCCCACCTCGTCCGCCTAACGGCCCATTGTCTTAAGCTACGGGGCGACGTCGCCGCGGGTGCCACAGTTAGCCGGGATGAAGCACCGCGACGGTCGGCCGCGCCAGGTCGCCGAGTGGGCCGGCTGGCGCGTGTCGTAGCTCCGTCGGACCGGACTGGGTCGGGCCGGAGTCGACAGCCGCACGGCTGGCTGAGTCTCCCCGGCCGCAGCAGGCCTGGATGTTCTCCTCGACGACCTGTGGAGCACCGACGAAAGCTCTGAGCTCTGGCCGGCTGCGGGTTAAAATGGTCGGGTAGCGCCCATGGGTCACAGGGATGGTTTCTTGTCGGCATGCTTCGCAGACCAGGTGACCGGTGCATTGCACTGAAAATTACGTGGGGCAAACTGTTCATTGCTGGTGTTGGGATGAGTATGTGGCTAATAGGCAAGGCGTAAGGCAGCATGATTTCTCCTGCGAAATTTAGCAAGTATAATGCCCTATAACGCAGCTTCGACTCTCGGCACCGTTCCTGAGTGGCAGGCGACGCGGCCCGGGATGATCAGCGCCTGCGTATTGCCTTTGCGCTTGCACGCAGTGCAGCAGCACTCTTGCAAGGCTTCAACAGCAGGTCATTTTGTCTTGCTGCTTGTTGGCTCCGTTGAGTTATGTGTATTGAGAAGAGTGCGATACAAACTTATTTCGTTTAAGAGCGACGCCACGAGTAAGATGATGGCGGTTATGAATGTAACTACGAAATGACTGTGATGCTTGTGTGTGTATAACATTCATATACAACATTGTTTATACGTTTGCATGACGTCTACGTATAGCATTCGTTTCATGCCATTGTGTGTTTGTGTTCTGCTCGACTCTCGATTTTGTGCTTAAAGCACACAATCATGTGATAAGCTACGCCGCTAAAAATTACAAGTTGAGTGGATACGGTTGGATACGGTTTCCCGGAAAAGCTCTGAGTTGAAGGTTTCATCCGGAATACACGTAGTATTTCTGTCCGCACCGCTGCAGCTGAGAGGTAATAAGCAACAAACATGTGGCGGCGTCTGGCTAGGGCAGATGTGGGATATTTTGCGGTGTATGGCTAGGGCGGATGCAGGACAGTTTGCGGTGTGTGGCTAGGGAAGATCTAGAACATTTTGTGAGTTTGGCTTGGGCAAATGTAAAACATTGTGCGTTGTCCGCCTAGGGCAGATGTGGGGAAAGACGCGCAGCTCACCTAAATCTGCCCAGTCTTCTTCACTCGAGGCGTGTCGGGGCGCGCACCGTCCGATTGCGTGTTGCGCGTCTCGTACGATCATCACGAAAGCGAACAAAAAGGCTCGGCGTGCCTTGCGTTCATCGAACTGTAGGCGGTCGGGAACAGATGTGCGGGGCGGCGAACCGCTGTGATGCCGAGACTGCTTCTCTTAACGGCATGCGCTGTCAGCAAGTGGGCTGTCTGCAGCCGGGATAGTTATTCAGTCTCCGGTTGCAGTAAACCGAGGATGACCTACTGTGCACGTTGACTTCCTGTGTTATTCTGGCCGGATTGCACTGCTCTGAAATACGCTGAATATGGGTATCGGGGGCTAGTGATCTTCAATTTCCGCAGAAGTTAAGACATCCCGGCACTTTCGGCGCGCAACCAGTTTTGGCTTAGTTCTCTTCCGTTGGCGTAGGCATTTCTCGCGCACAAGTTCCTCGACCGAGGTCTCCGCCCCGCGGCGCGGGCTGTCGGAATTGCCGGGTCCATCCTGTTCCGGCATTGCGTCCCATCTGCATCTCATCGGCGTTAATTCACGTGCGAGAGCGCCGGCGGCCGTGTCGTCGTGGCCGTCTGACCTGGACGACGGATTGAACCGCGGGGTCGCGCGAAGCCCCGGCGATGACCCTGGCCGGGGTTCGGCGTCGCCTTGGCGTGGAGTGCGTGTTGGGAGCGGGGGCCTGGGCAGAAGCCCTAAGAGGGCGGTGCGGCCACTCACGGAGTGAGCTTAGTCTGGGGCGCGCAGGGACGGTGCCGGTCTGGGATCGGCGTCGAGTGACCGGGCTGACCCGGTAGTCGGTTCGCGGGCTGGCCGTGGCGTCGAGCGGCGCTGGCGGCGAGCAGTGGCCGCACAGTCGGCGGCGGCGCTCCAAAGCCGGTTGCCTGGCTCGGCGGCGATAAGCCGCCCCGTCGCCTGGCTCTGCGCGATACGGCGCACGGCCGGCCGGCCAGCCTGGTCGCGGCGGCCCGCGACCGCCTACCCGCGCCCTGCACAGCACGCGCTGCGGCGGGGGCGGCGCCGCAGGGGTCGGGTTCCGGGCCGCGCCGCCCCCTGTGCCGCCCGTCAACTGCCGGCGGCGCCGCCAGGTGGAGGGTTTTTGCCGGCCGGCAGATGGCCTTCGGCCGGGCGGCGTCCCCTCGGCGCGCGGCTCGGCCCGGCGCCGACAGAAGTGAGCGCCCGCCCGCCAGCCGGACGCGCCGTCCGCCCTGTCCCGGCCGGCCTGTTTGCCAGTGTGAGCGCGCGCGGCCGCCGTCTGCAGTGTGTGGTCGATATTGGCGCCGGAGCACTCTCGCCGCCGTGCAAGACGCGCGCCGCCGCCGCCGGCGTGCGCTCCATCCAGCGCGGTCGACCGCGACCGGCGGCCGAGAGGGCCGCTCGGGCTGGCGCACGACCCAGGTGAGGCGGAGCGCAACCGCCCGTCGGCCGGAGAGGTCTGGCCCATTTGGGCAGCGCCACGGCAGACGGTCATCAGACAACAGTGGACAACTAACACCCGTGGCGGGTGGACGCACGGACGGGGTCACGGGGCACGGCGTGACGACCGGGGTTCGTGAGTGTGGCGGACGGTGCGGGTGCGTGGCGTCCGACCGGTGCGCCGCTCTGGGCCGCTTTTTGCCTGGGGAGAGCGCCGCGGCCGGCTGGCGGCACAAAGGCGCTCCACCGGCGCCCGGCCCGCTCCCGCCCGAGCCGGTTGGGGGAGCGGGCCCTCGGAGCAAAACACGCGCCCCCTGCGCCATTCATGGTGGCCGGCCCCGCGGCTGACGTCACGGGTCGCACGCCCGGCTGGCGCGGGCCGGCGAGACTTCGGCTCCGGTTCATCAACTAGAGTTTTAGGGCGCGTCAACTGCAAAAAGTCATGCAGCCTAGTCCACATACCGATGTCGCTCTCCCGTCACATGTTTGCCTCTGGAGGCGGATTTACATGGATGCTTGCCTCCGTTACGTTTCCCTGGGCTGTAATGGTGGTGGATTGTTCATCACAATATCAGCATACATCACTGTGCCGTTTAGTGATCCTTGGCGTGTCAAGGGAACAGTGTCGCGGCAGATGCATGCATCAATTTCTGGCCCGATCTCTGGCGCAAGTGGAGGGCTCGCCGCCGCCTGATGCTCTATGCGAACAGTCCGGCTCTGTCGCCACAGCTGCCACTGCTCACCGCGAATCGATCTCATCGCGATGCATAGGGCACGACTGTTAATTCTTCGGCCGGCCGATCTCTTTCACCGTCTGAGCGAAGTTTTGATTAAATTCGTCTGTTTTCCGGCGTCGGCGACGGCCCGAGTCGATCGGCAGCCCGCTGGACCGTGCTCCAGGCCGCGCGAGGCCGAGCCGGCCCAGTGGCGCCGCTGCCGCGCGGGGCCCGCTGTTTTTCCCAGCGGGCGAGATCGGGCCAGAGTGCCGACGGTCCATCTGCCGGGCCGGCTTGGGCCCAGCCTGGTGCCATGTGCCCGATCGGGACGAGAACGGAACAGACTAGATCGGGCCAGAGCGCCGACGGCCCATCTGCCGGGCCGGCTCGGGCCCAGCCTGGTGCCATGTGCCGCTGCGGCTGTGACGCGATCCGAGTGGTGTTTGTGGGTGGGACGGGCGTGTTTGCCAGGCCCGGGCCGGCGGCCGGCGGCCGGCGGCGGCGCACTGTTCCGGTGCTGGATCCCGTCGGCGATCGGACGGCTTGGCCCGGCCGACACCATCTGGCCTGGCGCGGCGCACAGGTCAGCCGGCGGCGCCCGTCCCGATGCCCGTCACGTCGGTGGCCACGCACGCGCTGTCTGTTGCTGACGCTGCAGCGGCGCCAGGTGCTCGGTCTCTGAAGCCCGGCTGATTAGCCGAGGCTCGGCGGCAAGGCCTGCCGAGCTCGCGTGAATCTCACGCTGTGAAGACGCGATCTGTCCAGGACGGAGAACGTGGCCTGGCGGTTCGTCGTTCCCAACACCCTTTCTCTGTAGCGCCCATCTCTGTCTCTGCCTGTGTACCCTTTTGTTAAAGACCTGTTCAGCCAGCATAGCGGAGCTTTCAAAGAGCTGAAACGTGTGCCAGTTTGTTACACCTTCTGTATTTTGTTTCGCAGCCTGTTCGTAAGAGCAAAATCGCAGTGTGCATACTGACCTGAAAGGACTCAATAATAGATAAACTAAATGAATGCCCGTAATGCGCTTTACTATTTTTAGATGTTTCAAGCAGACCGTGGATTCGTAATGTCCGTAGCCAATGCCGCGGTGGGGGCTTAAGCCACGTTGTTTCTCTGGATGGGTGTAGTTATTTAGTCGAGAGCAACGCATTCTGAACAAAACCCGCATAGTCCGCCGGCCAGTCCGTGCCGGGTCGCCAGCCAGTCCTTCCTAGTCCGCCGACCGGTCCAGCCCGGTCCGCCGGTCCGGTCTGCCAGTCTGCCGGTCCGGTCTACCGGTTCAGCCTGGTGCGGTTTACCGGTCTACCCTGGTCTGCCGGTCCGGCCTACCGGTCCAGCCCGGCCCACCGGTCCGGTCCAGCCCGGCCCACCGGTCCGGCCCAGCCCGGCCCACCGGTCCGGCCCAGCCCGGCCCATCGGTCCGGTCCAGCCCGGCCGGGTCGTCCGCCGGCCGGTCCTGATCGGATCAATCCGTCCGGCCGCCGATGCAACGCGTGCCGGCTTCATTAGCGAGGACGACATCGATTTCTGCATTAACTAATCGGCTGGGCGGATCGCATGCGGCGGCGCCATCAGCAGCGGATGGCGTCCGCTTGTAAGATTACCGGGCTCCCATCGGCCGGATGCTGCGCGTCTGTCAGATCGGCACCAGCGCTCGTCTGTCGGACCGGCACCAGCGCTGGTCTGTCAGACTGGCACCAGCGCTCGTCTGTCGGACCGGCGCCAGCGCTCGTCTGCCGGACCGACGCCAGCGCTGGTCTGTCAGACTGGCACCAGCGCTCGTCTGCCGGACCGACGCCAGCGCTCGTTCGCCGGGCCGGCACCAGCGCTGGTTCCTCGGACCGGCTCCAGCGCTCGTTTGTCGGACTGGCATGGGCCGCCTGTATGTGACGTTTGTCGGACCGGCATGGGCCGCCTGTATGTGTCGTTTGTCGGACCGGCATGGGCCGCCTGTATGTGTCGTTTGTCGGACTGGCATGGGCCGCCTGTATGTGTCGTTTGTCGGACCGGCATGGGCCGCCTGTCTGTGTCGTTTCGCCAGATAGGATAGGATCAGCCGGTCGGTGTGACGTTCCGCTGAGCCCCGCCGGCGGCGACCTCCCCGCGGGCGCCGGAGCTCGGCGGGCGACTGCCGGCGCCGTCTGGTGCCGCTGGTGCCAGCGCTGGCCGTGCTGCTGGGTGACGCTGACGCCGTGGCGTCGACTTCGCTCTGAGCAGCGTCATCGGCGGCGCCATACGGCGGCCAATGGCGAGCTAGCCGCTGATTGATGCTCGGTGTGTCGCCGCGGTGACGCGTACCGCTCTCAAAATAATCACCCGGCAGACGAGCGACGTGCCAAACCGCGCCGGTGTCGGATCATTCTATTTTGATGGCCGGCTCTCAGTCACTGCAAATAAACGCGGCGGCGGCGCCACGTGGTGCGGTCGGGCGGCCCTGTTGCGCCGCCGGTCCGGTGCCGGGGCCGGGCCGGGGCGGCTGACCTTGCCGCGGCTGGCGGCCCGCCGGCCGGGTCCGGCCCGCCCGGTCCGCCGGACTGTTGAGGTAGGCCGGCCGGCCGGCGCGCGCCCGTTTGGCGGCCGGCCGGCGCGCTGACAGCCCGGCGGCCGGCCGGCTATCGATCGCTGCATCCCGAGCCGGCGCAGACGGGGGCGCCGCCGGCCCGGCTCCCCTGCCGGCCCCGGCACCGGGTAGACGGGGGACCGGCCTCCCCTGCCAGCCCCGGCAAGTGTTGAGAGGCGACCCAGCACCAGCAGCGCCGGCGTCAGCGGATGACGTAGCCCACTGCCCACCCCGATCCGGTAGAGGAAGGGGATCCACCGTCCTGCTAACCGGGAGCCGGCTGGGATGGGGGCGCCGCAGGCCACACTTCCTTGCGACCTTGAACCAGCGTAGCTGGGACCGGGCCGGGCCGGTCGTGTCCTTGCTCCTCACCCCATCGACGCGCCAGGCAGCGATGGAAGCCGGGGTCGCGACGTGTGGCCTCCTAGTAGGGTCTGCCGAGCGCCGGCCTATCTCTGATGGGACGGCACTGCCGGGCGGCGCTGTCTCCGTCGGCCTCAGACGGCGACAGCGCCGTCCGTCCGGCGGCGCTGCCCTTTCGGCCTCGCTATGGCCGCATTATCTCAAGGCCGGGCCACCACGGGCTCCTCGCTTCCGTACTGCGATGACCGCTGACAACGATGCTGGGGCTGGCACAGACGCTGACGTCGGGAGAAGCAGCGGAACACGGGACATGTTGGCAGCGGGGTGGATGCCGAGGACACCGCTGACACCATTACTGAAATGGAAACCGGTTAGCCCTCGCAGGCGCCATCTCCCCAGCGGGGCGGAATCGCCGCCCTCCATAGACCTGGTGGACCCATTTCTCGGAAGTGGACCAGCCGTGTCATGCTGCTCGTTTAGTCGTCCTGGCCGGAGTCGTCATCGGGGCTTAACGATGTACTCAGCAACAAACGCTAAATGGCGTCGCCTTCCTCCCACTCTGGCAGGAAGGACGGGCATCGCGGGGAATCGAAACCCGTACCGCTGGTTGTCCAGATGCGTAGTTTAGCCATCGCACCGCCGGCAGCCGCAGTCGGTGCCGCCAATGACGGCGGCCGAGGGCAGCGCGCTATGTGCTCGGCAGCGGCGCCGCGCGGCGGTCCGGGGCCGGCCGCAGCGCCCACGGCGCTGCAGTCGGGCTGGCTCGGCCCGGCACCGCTGACCCACTCCCGGGCGAGCCGGGCCGCGTGTGTCCGGCGAGGCGGCCGGTCACGAGCCGGGCGCGCCGTCGTGTCGCCGCGCCGGTCGGCATCCAATCGGGCCTGTAGTGCATATTGCATGTGGCCGCCTGTATCGACCGTTCGGCCGAAACCACTTGGGCAATTTCTCCTGCTTGGTGGGCTCGCTCCGGCCACTCATGCTCTGGGTTCGCCGGCACCGCGTCCCGCCGATGTCTACCAATCGCCCACAGTCGTCCACCAACCGCTGCTCGCGTGAATGATCCACCAGCGAGGGGATTGACTCGGGGCACTGGCGCGATGGGCGGACGCGCAGCAGCTGACATCCGCGCCCGTGTGTCCGGCAGGTGACATGTCTCTGATGGTGGCCAGCAGCAGCCTGTTGGGCGGCGCGCCGCCGGCGCCGGCCACACCCGTCGGCCCGGCCCGGCTGGAGGCGCGACGGCGCGACAGCGGCGACTCGGAGGCGCGCTCCACGCACAGCTCCAGCAACAGCACCGCCGATGACCATTCGCCCAACAAGATTTTCGTGGGCGGCATCAGCTTCCAGACGACACCCGAGAAGCTGCGGGCGTACTTCGCGCCGTACGGCACCATCCTGGACGTGATGGTGCTCAAGGACCCGGCCACGAACGTGAGTGAGACGCGCCCCAGGGGCCGGGTGTGTCGCAGGCTGCTCGCACAGCGCGCTCAGGCTAGCGGCTAGGGTAGTGGGCTGCTGTGGTAGCGTCCGGACAGTGCGGGTCTCGCTAGCTCGGGGGTTAGACTGTGGTCGAGGCTAGTCTAGCCTAGCGGCGTTCGGGGTCGTGCGTAGCTGTCGTGCCGGGTAGCGCAGGTGTGCTGGTGCCCGCCGCTAAACGTGCCCGTCTATTGCAGAGGAACCGCGGCTTTGGCTTCGTGACGTTCGCCGACATAGAGTCGGTGAACAAGGTGCTCAGCCAGGAGGAGCACATGCTGGACGGCAAGAAAATCGATCCGAAGCTGGCCACGCCCAAGGGACAGAAGGCGAGCGGCGACCTGATGATCCCGCGCAAGGTGTTCGTGGGCGGCGTCAGCCAGGAGACCAACTCGCAGGAGCTGCTCGAGTACTTCTCGCAGTTCGGCAAGGTGCTCGAATGCTCGCTGCAGATGGACAACAACACGAAGCGGCACCGCGGCTTCGCGTTCGTCACGTACGAGAACGAGGAGCACAGTGCGCGCGTGGTCAAGAAGCACCACCACGTGATCAAGAACAAGACGGTCGAGTGCAAGTACGCGCAGCCCAAGGAGACGATCCAGGCGACGGAGCGCGCCAAGCGGGCGCAGCTGCTGTCGGTGATGCAGTCGGCGGCGGCCGGCGGCTCGCTGACGCCGCTGGCGGCGCACGTGCAGCAGGTGCAGCAGCACTACTCGCGCGTCATGACGGCCGGCGGGCCGGCCTTCTCGGGCCTGTCCAGCTTCCGGTACTCGCCGTACTCGGTGCCGGTGGCGGCGGCGTCGCCGTCGCTGGGTCAGCAGCTGGGCGGCCTGCCGGCCGGCGTGGCACCGGTGGGCGGCGCGCTCTCGGCGGCCGCCCTCCAGCCAGCCGCGCTCCCCTACCAGTTCGCCAACATCGACATGAGCGGCCTGCAGGGGATCGACTGGGGCGGCGCCGCGCCACTGTACGGCATGTACACGGCCTAGGTGGCGCTCCACCCGCCCCGCCGGCGGCGGCGGCTGTGAGGAGCGAGAGCGAGAGCGCGAGAGACTGAGCGAGAGCGACGGCCCGGACTAGGTGTGTATGCTGGATGTCTTTCATGGTTGTGGTAGACAGGCAGCGTAGAGTAGCCGCTGGAGGCTCAGCTCAGCTCAGCCACTGTCCGATTGAGACGACGGCAAGGCGGCGCGCGCGGTATTGACAATAGCATAAGTTCTCAGGGGTTTTAAGTTATTTATTGTCAAGTTGGCCCTTGGGTTGTGCGGACGGCGTGGTGGCGACCGACAGTCGGATGTCCGCTCAGATCTCATGTAGAATGATTCAGTAGTACAACAAAGCGTCACATCCGCATCTTGCCAAACCGTCATCTCCCGATTCCTACATACGATATTACCCAGAGCAGTGTACATAACTGTTGTGCAGCGCTTGCCGAGCTTGTGTGTAGCTGAGGTGTACATCTGTAGCAGGTCTTCCACTGTCCGAGCTCTGCACGCCCCGGCGAGCGGACCTCTTGTCTGCGCCCTCGTCTCTCAGTTGTCACGCACCGCCCCGGGTGCGCAGCATATCAGAGTACTCGACCTCACCGTGTTGTAGTAATAACAATGGCAATAACGGGCGGAGGAGTCACATCCCTTGTACTCCATCTAAACATGACCACCCACGCATACGCTCACATACATACATACATACACGTATATACATGCATACATGCATCCATACATGCACACGTACAAACATACATACACACATACACTCACGGACTCACATGTTCACATATGCGTCCCTCATGGGCTAACACCTTTCTCCTCCCCCTCGTCACCCTTCTCAAATCCCTCTTGCTCCCCATTATCATCCCCCTCCACACACATACACACTTAAGTACGCACCCGTGCACACACTCAGACACATGCACCTTCTGGAGAGCCCCGGCCCGTTTTCGCACGTGTTGACGCGCTGTTGTGTGCCATCTCCCTCCTGACGCCGTTCTCTTCCAGTTCGCGCAGTATTTACCCTCAGGCCGGGCGGACGGGGATGGGGGCGGAGCCCACCGGCCGGGCCCGTGGGGCACGGACGGAATCAAAAGGCGGGCGGCGCTCGCTCGCCGCAGAATCTCGGGCCTGGTCGCCCCCCAGCAGCTAGTGTAGTGTGTGGGAGGGGGGTCGCGGTGTGTACGGTGTCTGCGCGTGTCGGGCTCGGCGATCCCAGCTGGCTAGTGCTGGAGTGCGCTGTACTGCAGCCTCTGACGCCGCCTGAACGGGACTGCAAGGCCACGAAACTGTAGCTTCGGACCGCAGGTGGACAGAACCGAAGCCCGGTGGACTGTGGATCCTGGCCGTAGTGGACAGGGCTCGAGTCCGGTGGACTAGGTCCTGACCCCGTGCGGACATCGCTGCAGCTCAGTGGTATACAGTACCCGACACCGGGCGAGCAGGGCTGGAGATCAGTGCAATGCAGTTCCTGGCCACTGGTGGACAGGGCATACAGTTCAGTGGGCTACAACCTGACCCTAGGTGGAAGAAGACGCTGTAGAGCTAGCGGAGACCTCCTCAGGCACGCCTGGGCAGAGATAAGAGAGCAGTGTGCAGGATGTATTGTCCGTAAGTCCGGCCCGCTGGTGCCAAGAAATTCGCTGGGCCGTCGCGCGGAGCACAAAGCTGTTCTTCAGTGCCAAATACTCTTGACCGCCGTCTCCCCACCTCTGTCTGACATGTTGTCATAGCAATAACTTGCAGATAGACTTTAGTTTTGTAAATGCGTACTTCGTGTTCAGTACCCTAGACTGAGAGCTGGATCTTCCCTCTGTGTTCGAAAGGAATGTGTCGAGGCGGGCGGCCGGTCCGCGTCCGGCGGCCGGGCCCGGCCCTGTAACGTCACGCACGGGCACGCACCGTCGGCCCGGCCGCCCGGCCGCCCGGCCGCCGGCCGCCCGCCTCCTAGCCGTAGGTCTTTCTCTGGCCCCCGGCCCCGTCGACTGTGGCTGGTAGCCGCCCTCTGTGAGAGGCGGACGGGTGCAGGGCGGCCGCGCTCCGCCCCGCCGCGTGCTCTCTGGTGACCCTGGCGGCGCCGTCGCAAACATGCAACAGGGTGACGCCTCTGTTCAGCCCCCTCTCTTTCTATCTGTGCCCCCTCTGTGTAGACTCTCCTATTACTATAGTGGTCAGACTTGTGACTAGTTAGCTTAGACGCTGCGGCGGACCCGCCAGCGGCCGGTTTTTGTATATAACCCTGCGGCTAGGTCCGGCCCGCCGGCGTCCCGCGGCCGACCGCCGCCGACTCGCCGTCGGCCGGGCCGCCGGCAGGCCGCGGCCCAGTGACCTAGCATGGGTCAGTTGTGTCGTGTAGATCGCTATGTAGTTGTTCAGTGGCTGAACTTTCGTTTTCCTTTATTCCTAGTTTCCATGCATTGTAGTAGTTCTCAATGAATAAACGTAGACACGTAGCGCGGCTTGTCGGCGCCATCGTCGTCGGTTGACAGAGGCGGGCATGCGGTGGACGTGTCTCCGCCGGAGACCGGTGTCCTGGCTCTCTCGCTCTCTCTCTGTCCCGAGCGGGCGCGCCGCCCCGTCGACGACAGCCGGCCGAGGAGCGCCGGCCGTCGGAGGCGGTCGTGGCCCACCGGCGGCCGCGCCGCCCCAGTAGTAGCTTCCAGCTCCGCAATAACAACTGTGCCTAACAGCGTAGTGCGCTTGGCGCCGCGTTCGGCCGGCGAGCATGCAGCCGGCGGCGCCCGGCCGCTGCGCGCGCGTCACGCTGAGACTGCTGTGCCTTCCTCGCCCGCTGGCCGCCGCCCGGCCGCCGAGGACGCGCCCTCATTCGCGAGGGCTTTTTCGGAGCGTTTGTGGCGATTTTGTACCGGACGCTTGTGTGTGTGTGGCGGGTGTTGGGACGAGGTGGCGCCGCCGCCTGCGAAGGAGCGATCTCGTGCTACCCACCGACCATCGAACTAAACATGCCTTATTTTCAGTATGTGCTCAGAGCGAGCGTCGAGCCCAGGCGGTAAGAAGGAGCGACATTCCAGAGGTGCTCTAGTCTAGATACGGCAGCTCAAAGTTTGGGTAGCTTTATGTAGACTGCAGATTTCGGAGAAAACAATCAAAAGCTTCCATGCGTGATGCGGTGCCGTAGTCCGCCCAGTCGCGTAGCTGTTTTGAATGGCGGAAACTCGTGTTGTCGTATTATGGCCGTGTAGCGTCGGATGCCCCCGAGTGCACCCTGCAGGCGGGACCGTGCCGTATCCATAGTCGCGTGCTCAGTCGGCCCAGCATCGGCCGGGCTTCAGCGACGCCGCAGGCTGCCGCGAGCTGGCCGCCATTTCGCGTGACAAATCACGGCCGGGGCTAACTGGTCGCCGGCCGTCCCGGCGTCACCATGGAGACGCACAGGATTTATCGCCTCGGGCGCAAGTCGACCGGCCGGCCGGCTGCGTCCAGCCGCGCCGGCCGGTGTCGCCGCCGCCTCCGCCACTGCTTTCCTCTCCTCTGTCGGCGCCGGGCCAAGGCTCTGTTGCGGCGCTGCCGGCCGCCGTGCCGCGCGCGCGCCACCGGGGTGGGAGGGCGCACCCCGAGCATGGCGTGCCACCGTCACCGCCCTCGCCCTCGCCCTCGCCCGACGGGCGGCGGGCCGGCGGAGCTGTCTCGGCTCCAGCGCCGTCGCGCCGCCCGCAGCCTGGCCGGAGCCGGCGGCTGGGCGCCCGCAGCGAGCCGACGGACGTCAGCGCGGCGCGGCCGCCTCAGGCGCACGGGTACCGTCGAGCATCTTCCAGACATCTCTGCCTTATCTCCTGCGGTGTGTGCGTGCGTGTGTCTATATTTTGTAAGCAGCGTAGCGTGCCGTCTGTCGCCGACGACCGTCTCGACCTCCGAACAGGGCGGGTCCCGCCGGCAGTGTTGTCCTGAGCAGCTAGCTCGGCAGGGTGTCGCTCCCCGCCCACCTCTAGTCCCTTGGTCGGGCCGCCGGGGAACCGGCCGAGCTCTCCGGCGGCCGGTGCGCGCCGCGACGCCCGGCTCCACCGGCGCGACTTCAGGTAGACGTTTCACGAGCCGCGGGTCTCCAGTAGAAAGACGTGGTTGTGATTTCCTACATAGCGCATAGGTGCAATACGTAGCCTTTACGCCCAGGGTAGCGGGCAGTGTTGGTGTGTGCTCCCTAGAGAATAAACGTTGATTAGTGGCGCCGGGTTGTATTGTGTAGCCGCCTTCACAGAGTAGCCCCCACTAGCCATGCGGGGTCTCCTTAGGGCGCCGCGGCGGACGCAGTGTATAGACGTCTAGATGCCGCGGACTAGCCGCACCCAGACTACAGGTAGACTGGTGGAGAGCCAGGCTGTTAGCCGCCCTAGAGATTCGAGTCGAGTCTGGCCCGGCACCCTGCCGGTGGACAGGTGCCCGTGGATGGAAAGCTGTGCGATAGACACTGGGGCATGCCGCCAGCGAGCCGTCCCGCGTCTGTCCGACCAGAGCAGTAGACGGCGGCCAGGTCTCGGCCAGGTAAGGGTGGGTCTGCTGGCGCTGACCTGGCGATAGCCGGGGGAGAGGGGACGTGAGCGGCCAGCCGTGCTGGATCAAGACAAGTGGCATTGCCGTAACCAAGGCCTCACCTGGGAATGTCTGTGTAACAAATGGTTCCCGAGGGGTAATGGAGAGTGGTCCGGAGGGTGTGGTGGCGAAACTGCGGCAGGGCGGCCGTTCGATCGGGTCACCGATTTGAGCCGTCCTTCGCCCAAGCCGCGGAGCGTCACCCGCTCGCCAGGCATGAGCGGAGATCGGCGGCCTCATCTGGTCCCGCGGAGAACCCCGCCGGATGTTTTGGTGCCTGATGTTGAAGTCATGTGTTTAACACTGCCTGCGGTAGATGAGTTCATGGAGACACCATGAGCGCGAAATGTGTGTTGCTTCTGAGGATTTGTGGGTGGGTAGTAGGTAGATACGCACGTAGGTAAGCACGTAAGCTGACATTTAGACCACCAAGCAGAGTTTGATGCAGACCGGTTTTGGTGAGGGCAGGTCGTGATTATCGCTCGTTGGCATATGTCCAGAGGTCGACTGCGAACTACTGCTTGTTTTGCGCACGGTTCCGGTTTCTAGCGATGGCCGCATACCATTGGGAATTGCTGTTTCATGCTGCGTCTCTGCAGTCCTTTACCGTCTTTCAACAGGTATTTCCCGTTTTTCGGCCGCACTGTACCAGCACTTATTGGAGCACTTGAGCGCACCGAAGCATTGCGTTTGTGCAGCAACGCTATTCGAAAGGAAGGCAACGCGGCTGGTCACTCCAGCAATGCTGGGCAATCTGCTCAGAGTACCCTTATACCCTTATACCCTGGTACCAGTTGGTGCCCGTTCGTACCCGAGTTGACCGTTCAAGCCTGAATTTCAATGTGTCTGTCACCGGAGGTCGGTGACCTTGGATTCAATTAAAATCTGGGGTTGCACAAAAGTGCCGTATGGCGTGCCCGGAACACCAGGCGGAAAGTGGCGGCGGGTGCTTCGGCGGACCGATGGCCTGTCCGGTCACGGGATCGGCACTCGTCCCATGAGTCACTGTGGAGCTCCTCTTGCTTGTCACCCTGTCGTCGGTGTTGGCGGCGGTCAGGGCTGACTCACCGCTGACGTGCTGCTGAACGCGGAAGGTCGGCCTTCTGACCGTCCGAGCCGACGCTGCCTTATGAGGACGTTGTGATGTAGATGTGGATACAAGCATGGAGTTACGACGTGCCAGCGTATGCTAGACGTACAGTCACGTGTGGTGCTTGTTTCAATATTGGTATAGATACCTTCCGTTGGCCTTATTCCGGTGTCACTGCGCCTCCTGTGTCCACTTACACCATGCGCAGCTGTGATCCCACGCCTTCTGATCACGCCGTATCAGCGCACCGGTCTGAAATGGCCTGATCTTCCGAGAGTAGAGCTGGGCCCAAACGGCAGTTCTGAAAAGCACATCGGTGAAACCAGGCGTAGCTGCTAACATGCATGTTAGGGCGGCGAGATTGCCGAGTGCGCAGGCTTGCAGTTTTGTTTGTCCGGGGCCTAGCTGGCGGTAGCGGTCGGTGCCCTGGTGCCAGACTGACGCTGGCCGTCCTCGAACTGCGAGCACGTCACCGCCGCAGAGTTGGCCGGACCGGACCGGACAGGCTCGCACCGCCCTCCCGTACTGCACGTGCGCTCGTCGGTGCCGATGTACGCCAGCTGCCTGTTTCGGCCACCTCCACCAGCCAGTGCACGCCTGGGCAGAGCGGCGTCCCAGGAGTCGCTCCGGCGGACGGCGAGGGTGACGGACCAGTGCACGGTAGCATGCTCCGGAAGCTGCAGCAGCTCGCGGCACGTCCAACTTGCTGGAAGACTGCGACTGTATTCACGTCTTTTTTTACGAAATGCCCCCCTCGGCACACTCGAGAGCATAGGTGGACGTCCTAGGACGTGGCAGGTAGCGCATACTGACAGAACTCAAGAGCATAGGTGGACGTCCTAGGACGTGGCAGGTGGCGCATACTGACAGACTCGTGAGATCAGTTCCCGTTTCGCGGCCAGAGGCAGCAACAGCAAAGACAGTGAAAGGATAGCTACAAACCGAAGCCTACCGTGTGGAAATTAACGTTTTCCGTGCATCCGTAGCAACAAGTGCCTGTCCGTGGGTAGTTGCTCGCCCGGTGGACGCGATTGCCAGCAAGATTGCGGCAGGAGCGGCCGCAGGTAAGCAGACACTAGCTAGACCATGCACTTGCACACGTCGGACGATTAGATAGCTAATGTGTACCTCCGGGTCAACAGCCAACGAGCGTCCGATACTGGGGACTGGCGCCATGCCCCCTGGTCACCGTGCTGTGTCCCAGGGTCTTCAAGCACGGCTCTGCCCTGGATCGGGTTTCAACACCGTGTCTGAGACCGGCCCCCGGATCACGACACCGTGTCTGGGCCGGCCCCGGGCTACGACACCGTGTCTGGGGTCGGCCCCCGGGTCACGACACCGTGTCTGGGGCCGGCCCCGGGTTACGACACCGTGTCTGGGGCCGGCCCCGGGTTACGACACCGTGTCTGGGGTCGGCCCCCGGGTCACGATGTCTGGTCTGGGACCGGCCCCTGGGTTACAACACAGTGTCTGGGACTGGCCCCCGAGTCGCAACAGTGTGTGGGACCGGCCCTCGGGGTCACGGCACAGTGAGTGGGACCGGCCTCCGGGTCGCGACACCGTGTCTGGGCCGGGCTGCTGGGCTGCCTGGCGCTGCCGTGACCCATGGGAGCCGGGTTCCCGCACCTGGCAGCGGCGGCAGCCCTCTCCAGCAGGTGGAGGCGGCGCCGGAGCTCGGGTAGCTGTACAGCGGGCCGGCGGCTGAAGCTGCGCGCCTCGCACCTGCAGCCGTCCAGCAGGGGCCGGTGGCTATTGGGGCGCCCGAGGCGGCCCCTGCCCCGCGCGCAGGTCCGGGCGTGCCTCCTACCGAACTGCGTCGGCCACTGCCGTTCGTTACCAGGGCCCCTGCCTTCTTGGGAGTTTTTATACGCACCGGTTCAGACCGGCCGTGTTTAGCTGTGTGTATTGCTTGTGAGAAATCACTCGGTCTTTTAGTGTCCCTGACCGAAACGTATTGCCTTTCATAAATCGCTTCACGACAATGAGACGTCAAGAAACGGGCGATACCAATGTGACTCCTAAATCAGCTTGCCATTGGCGCTTCTTTCCTTCCATTCGTCCATCGTCCCAAATGACCCATTTATTTCTTGCGAAGCGTATCTATTCTACAGAACGAGTGCGATGCGTCTTTCCAGAGTGCTCACGACTCTGAAGCTGGGATTGCATACCGTGTATGGCAGTTTTCCCAATAAAGCACGCTCGTGATGGTGGGCCGTGTGTGCGACTGGCGGGTCCGCAGCAGTGCAGCGGTGTCTCACCTGGGGCCGAGGCCGGCGGCTCCAGAGACTGCAGACCAGCGCCACCAGCAGGACGCGGGCTGGGTTGGCCGTCTCAGCGGGCGGGGTCGCGTCAGCAGGGGCCGGAGCCGGGCGGTCGGCCTCACCTGGCCACCGGCCACGCAGTACACCACACAATGCAGGGCTATCGGCAGTCGGACGGCGCCGGCCGCGTGTAATCGCGGCGCCTGCCGGCGTCGGGCGGCTCGATAAGCCGTTCGTCTGAGAGCCCGTACGTCACGCCTTCCGTCCGCCGTGCAGCCGGCGCGCCCGACGCCGTGTCTCGTCCTCTGCTAGAGCCCGCTGGAGAGGTCGCGGGCGGGGTGGCGTCCGGGCGCGATGTCACGTCACGCCTTCCGTCCGCCGTGCAGCCGGCGCGCCCGACGCCGTGTCTCGTCCTCTGCTAGAGCCCGCTGGAGAGGTCGCGGGCGGGGTGGCGTCCGGGCGCGATGGCCAGCGGAGGGCGGAGCGAAGGGGACAGGGCAGTTTTAAGCATATTCGACGGGAGCTGACGGAGGATGTGTGACTACCTGACATCGCTGGGACCTTCTTCTGTCTTTGCACCTTATCGTAAAGCCCCGGACGCAGTCAGCCTTGCACTCTGAACGCCGCACTCAAACTGCAA